GATCATTTATGATCATCTGAATTTAGAACAAGTATATGATTAAGAGAAGCAGACTCTCAATTCATTCAGATTGGAAGATGTAGTTTTCTTTCCTTTTCAGCTCTTCGATCAATCTGCCTTCGACCACCTCATCCACAGAATCAAAAACCCCTCCTCCTGTTTTTTGTTTCTCTTTGTGAGACTTGTAGTCGTGAATCACATGAAATTGGCTTTTGAGGAAGGAAGGGGTGTTCGTCTTCTGGCATCATTTTCCTCAACGCGCACCCTTCAGATTGTTGATGCCATGGAGTCAAATCTTTGTGTCTACTTTCCACCGAGAAGAAAGGTTCTTCGAGTGATGTGATGGATGGCCTTTCATGTTCCCCAGGGTCGTCACCATAATGAGCTACTAGGAAGCCACAAATGATTCCCACTCTATGATCCTTCAATGCCCCCATCAAGCCCGATGAAGTGGGTACTTTGGAGAAAAGGCTTGTAATATTTCAAGATTCTCAAGTTAAAGGCTATCCAACAATTATCCAAAGTTTTAATAAATATATATATATATATATTAAAAAATAACTATATAATTCTCTACCAAAATTTAAGCTAAATTATTGGATAATCATTCGCATAAAACTATTCCAAGAACATATAATAAAATTGTTCAATAATATAGGAGAGTTTAATGGGGGAACTATAGATATTGAGGAAGTTAAAGAAAAAGTAGCATCTTTGCAAAGGAATATTTGATGAGTCAAAAGTATAAATCTTTGGCTCAAAGCATTTTGTCTTCTCTTTCTTCCTTCCTTCCAAAGGCATTCCAATGCTCCACCCTCACCTGCACAATCCTTATCCCTTTATCCACATAGAAATAATTAGGTCAATTTTCCCAACGAATTGGCATATATAGAGAAAATTTTCCATGAACTCAGAGCTTATTTTGTTCTGCACATTCATATTATTTCCTTCTTACACAGAGCAGCAATTTCATTCATGGAATTCTGCATATATTAATGTAAATTATCCAAAATATCATGTATATATCATATTCTTTTTATATATATGCTCATATGGTTAGATATATATATATCCTTTTAGTGGGGATCAAATTGAGATTATTCACGTCGTACAATACGTTATCCCGGGTCTTTAGGCTTACTGGCTGTGGCAGTGGGCCCATGCGGATCCTACAAGGGGAGCCACGATTGGCGCCAATTACACGACAGGTAGATGTGTGGCTAGAAGCGTCCATTTAAATCTGAAAAATGTTTCCTACACGTGTCGAGCGGATGTTCTGCAGTAAAACAACTAGGATTCTTCAATTACACCTTACAAGGGACCAAACAAGAGATCCCAACTCCTGTGGGGAAGTCTCCATCTCAACGAGCAGTTTCCGAAACGCTACGGACTTGGAAAGATCCGCACCATGAAGCGTCTAATTCACGCCACGTAAGAAGTCATTCTCCGTGATATTAAGCATGGCTGATAATACAGTATAAATCTTTTTTTTTTGTCTTCCTAAAATTCTTATTGGAGCTTCAAGTGTCGTCTCTTTTGATATCCAACCCTATATTATTAGTTTCCATAATTCCATTATATTATATATACAATATGACCCTAGTTTTTTTATACATTAAATAAAATAATTTAAATTCTATCTTATTACAAGTACCTACTCCCAACCACTTCGGGAAAGAATCTCGGAGATCTTTTGACCCCTAACAAAAACACCAGCCAGTCATAAAAAGGAAAGAAAATATATATTGAACCTTTTAGATAAATAAATTATATTATATTATTTCTTTATTGTGAATTGGCGCGCCACGTGGGAAACGGCATCCCGATGCCGCCCGGATTGGTCGGGTCGCGTTACGCGACGAGTCGAGCTCGGGAATCTCCAGTCCGATCGAACCGGACCGGACCGCACGGATCCCTGTTCCCCGTCTCTTCTTGCGTCGGCTATATAACGCTCACCTCCCCTCCTGTCTCCTCCCTCCTATTCCCTGTCCTTTGTTCTCGCTCGAGAGATCTCAGAGGCGATACCATAGGGAAAGAATCGGATCGGCGATGGGCCCGATGGCGGTGGCGGAGGAGATGGGTTTGGAGATGAAGCTGTGCGCCATGCGGACCGTCGGTGGCTTTCTGAAGGAGGCGTCGGCGATCGAGTGCGGGGACGGCGGGCGGGCCGCTAGGCTGGAGGAGTCCATCAGGAGCTTGGAGGAGGAGAAGAGGAAGATCGAAGCTTTCAAGCGCGAGCTCCCTCTTTGCATGCATCTCCTCGGCGAGGGTTCGTTGGATGCTTGTTATTTCCGTTACTTTTTTTTGGGATTCTTCTGCTGTAAAAATCCGAATTTTTACGATCTCGATGTCGTTTCTTCTTGGCTGCAGTGATCGAGGGATTGAATAAAGAGATCGAGCGATTCCGTTGCGAGAGGTTTGGGCGAGCTTTCGAAGAATTCGTACCAGTAAAGAGTAAAGTTGAGGAGGGTGGAGGAATAAAAGAGGAAACGGAATACAAAGATAAAAGGAACTGGATGAGCTCCGCCAAACTCTGGAACGATAATTGTAGCCAGAACAACAATGATTCCAAAAAGCACGACAAGATAAAATTTAAAGAGGTAGAAAGGAGAATCTTTACGGTAAATATTGGATCTTTGTGTATACCATTGTGAGATCGGCTAAAATGGATCGTCGTCTCTGGTTCTGGTCGCAGAAAGATGGAGACTCTCATCGGAGGCAGGGGAAGGAGAACTTCTTCTCGGAACGCAAGAGCCGGAACGGCGGGGGCGCATTCGTGCCATTTAGAGGTCTGCCACCGTTTGCTGACAGCTGCAAGAGGGAGGAAGAGAAGCCTGCCGCCGCGTTGCCTGACCTATCACTGCAGTCGCCTGCGATCAGAAACCACCATGTCAGTGGCTGCGCCTCTAGAGCTGTTGGCAATGCGCCGGAGATGACTCCGGCGACAGTTGGTGCCCACGTTAGCTTGCAGTCGCTGCAGCAGCAGCCACCAAGAAAGGCGAGGAGATGCTGGTCGCAGGAGCTACATCGTCGGTTCATGCGAGCCATCCAACAGCTCGGCGGTGTTCAAGGTGAGAAGACGATGTTTGTCATTTCCTACAAGACAAAAAGCCGACCTTTAATTCTTGAATCTGTCAAAGTTCCGAAACACTTGATGAGAAATAATGCTCTAAAGAGCAAGAATCACTTCTTCTTCTTCTTCTTCTTCTCACTTGGATTTGACTCTTGTACTCGTTGATGCAGTGGCCACCCCCAAGCAGATACGAGACCGGATGAAGGTGGATGGGCTCACAAACGATGAAGTGAAAAGCCATCTGCAGGTATATCGCTTGCTTGTTGATCTCAGTTTTCACGGTTTGCTCAATGTTCTGGCCCTGCTGTTTCAGAAATACCGGTTGCACACTCGAAGAATGTCTAATGCTTCAGCTATTCCACAAGATCAACACACTTGCTCCTCACAGCAGAGTGTTTCACAATCCAATTCTCCGCAAAGCCCGCTTCAGTTAGCTGGCTCTGCACTTGCATTGTCAGTGACTGCGGGAGAGAGCTTGGAGGATGATGGCAAATCAGAGAGCTATAGCTGGAAATGATGTAGATTAAAGTGAGGCTTTTATGTACTCGATGAAGAGACCTACAAGTGGAGATCGATGTATAGAGGGAACAAAAATTTTGCTGAATGGTAACTGATGAGGTTGGAGTAATGGTAACTGTGTTCTATAGGGATAAAGAAGGTGCAAGTTGTGCTGACAGAGGAGTCTCGATGCTCTCCCCTCATATCTTCCTCCTCTTCCTTAATTTTCCTTGCTAAATTTTGTGATCTGTTTTGGCACTGTTTGATCATCAAGTAGAGTGTCACTTCCCCAGTGATAAGGTTTTTCTCTTACAGATTGAACAGCATGGTGAGTTCAAGTATGACATCTTCTTGTTCTTGCTATCTGATGAGGTTCTCTGGTAGGTTATGCAGTAGATGAGAAGACAATCTGAAGAGATCATGAACCAGTGAAGCTTATGGACTTTACCTGAATTTTATCATCTGAATTAGTACCCGAGTATGGAATTTGCTGCAGTTCTTATTAGATTTATTGAGTTTATGACATGTTTGACTATATCATTCCATATCTACATATCTTTGAAATTTTAAAGCTATTTTCACTTCTCTGGCACTCTGGCAATGGAGAAGGAAAAAGAAGATTATGGAATCAAGTATCACATATAAACTACATGGCCCATGTGAATTGCTCCAAGTACATTGCTGTTCTAGTCAAAATTCCATGGGAACTTGAAGAATAAAACAGTGAAAACCATAATAAGATGAGAATAATTGCTATGATTATATGTTGGCCTCACACTTCTGAATTTTTCTCTCAGTATGTTGAACAAATTGAAGCTAACACAATACATATTGGGAACAAACTCAGTGGCTACCTTACAAAAGCATCCAGTATCCACTTTAGATGCATCTGAATAGTGTTTTGGAAGGTTGCCAGGAATGAGCCTACATGCAGCTCACTGTGGGGTAGTCTATTGATACTGATGAATTAAAGACATACCATTCCCACCATTGCATTCTCCTTTGCAAGGTTGAAGGCCACCTCATTTGTTCTGTCACAGTTTTGCAACAAAGATTCTAGTTCACATCACTCAAGGTGAACAATGGAAAGGGAAAAATGAGAATTTTTTGCCCATGTACATTTCTTTAGAGGAATGAGAAAAGACAGCAAAAGTTCAATATTACCACAATGCTACTGACACTTGCATTGCCACCCTCAGCATGTAACTTTATGCAGTCAATTTACTAGCTTAGCCAGCTTATGTAGTTTCAGGTCAAATGATACAGCATTTGATGATATAAAATGTCAAATTCCAACTAACCATGGAACTTCAGCAAATAAAATATCTTAGGAACCCATTAATTCATGATAATTATAACTGCAAGAACTTAGGTAGCATCCAATGTCTAGCAGATGTCATCAAGATCCCCAACAACAGTATGCTTTACATAATATTTCATTCACCATCTGGTAAAAATTCTGAAGGCCTGTCTCTATGAGCAGTACCAATAGTGGATTATTTCATCCGCTAGCCAGTGCAGAAGTTCTGCAGAATCAATGCTACTTCTGGTACTTTCTAATTTCACCACACAAGACATGGTTGCATGGGGTTCGCATAAAGCTGTTGTTGTACATCATCTCTGATCAGACGGTGAAGTTTAAACCTATGTGTCAGCTTTAGTAATTGCTGAACTCCAGATTCTCTATAATTATCCCCAGAAGTATGCTATTCAACCAGAGGAAAGCACTACATTGGCTGATATGTCCACTTTGTTCACTCCACCTTCTGCTTGTAGCCACATGGTACTGAGAAATGAGATTATTACATTTCAGAAGATACCTCCTTCTATATTACCAGTAATTAAGGCAAAGAACCTCTCATTTTCTTTAATAATTTCACTTTCATGAGCCTTCAACACTTGGTCCTTGTTAATGCTTCCAATACTATCTTGGACTTCAGCAAGGTGATCAAAACCCTTCCATTGTATTAGGAACATCAGCAATCACAATCTTCAGTTCGACCCTAAATGAGTTCCTTAATCAATCATTCACTTGATAGTAGCAACTTCACAAGAGAGCCTTCATTTTTCATTCATGCACCTTTGAGTGACGACCTAGACTGATCCAAATATCATCATACTCCAATCATACAGTAGCAGCTGCCTTCTTATCAAAGGAGGGTCATCCGAACTCAGTCACAGGAACTCGTGGGGATTCTTGCGTCTGAAAATCTGTAAATCTGAATGTAGCTTCCCTTGCTTATTAACCTTGCCGTTCGTAAGGTAAGGATTTGCAAAGAATACCTACCACAAGTGAGGTGGTCTCTGTAGTCCTCTTCATTGTCCACTGCATCTACTCAAGCAGGAGAGACTAATAAAAAATGCATCAACGTAATGGTTATTAATCAAGACAAAAAACAGATACTATGAGAATTCTTCCCCGTTCAAATGCACCAGAAACAGGGGGCATAATGATTCAAACTAATGCTGCAAAACACTAGCTAAGTTTAAATATCAAGTTAAAAACCTTACTGAAAATGGGAGTTTTTGATTTTTTTTTTTTTCCAATTATTGAACTCTTAGGCTCCATGGACTTATGATGAATCTCTATATGGTTTGACAAAATTCAAATCTTCAACAATAACCTGAAAAGAATCATGTTCTGAAATGTATCCAAGGTCAAGATGAGAGGTTGAAAAATCAAAGGTAGGAAACAAATAGTTGAGAAGTTTGATAGGAATCTTGGCTAAAGCTTCCTAACGAACAGCTCATTGGCACCATTTACTCTTGTAAATTAGTTCCGCAACTGTGTAACATTCTTGCAGAAACTGAGCAAGCCAGTGGTAAAAACATTGACATCAATGACTTGAGCACAAGTTAATCAAGAAGACACACCACAACAATATGGATGTGCAGCAATGAGGTTGTGATTAAGAAACTCTAGGAACTGAAAGTTCAAATGCTTTGGATGACAAAGAATCAGTCAACTTTCAATTAGAGGATAAAGACTTTGCTGAAAACCTCAAGATAATGGAAAGCTTAAGAAGTTCCTTGTTATAAGAAACAATAGGTGCACAAAGAGATGTTAAAATGAAGTTCATGTCTCCAGACCTTTTAATTGGTTTCATGACTTCCTCTTGCATTGAGCTTCTCGTAATAACCTAAAGGACTACATTCATATAGGGAACCATGTGTTCTCAATTATCTGTATAACACTTACAGTAGCTTGTCCAAAAAGATGAATTCCTTGTTTGAGATGCCTGCCAATGTGATATCCTAAGAGCGCCAATGGACCCAACCTTAACCCTACAAATAGAAAGGCTATCTCTATGACTCATATATTAATCGCCTAGGTCATAAAAGAGTAACATCATCATTGCACCAAGGCTCACCCCTTATAGTAGCTTGTGCAACATTAATAATAATATCCCACTCCAACGTTACCAACTTTTGATAACCAATAGACCATTGTCACTAAACCAAAGTCAGCAGGCCACCTTGCAAGAACCAAGGTCTGCTATACCGAAGCATACCGCCCGGTACGGGCGGTACATACCGGTCCGACAGGTTATCGGTACACGGACTGCCCGGTACTGCTACAGTGCAACAGTATTATACTGTAGCACTGTTACAGTATGAAAAATATATATAATTGTTTGGTACACTACGGTGTACCGCTCGGTACGCTCTAATGTACCGCTCGGTACATCGGTACCATACCGTACTGAGCCCGGGTCGAAACGTCGGTACGGTACGGTGCGACGAACCTTGCCAAGAACCATAAAAACGCATCAAAGTGAATATGAAAAATAGGAAGGGCATGCCTATTGTCATGCAAACTGTAGGATTAGTTCCAAATTTGACATTCCTGAGGAAAGCTTGAGCATTGATGTATATGACAGTACTAACACATGAGCATTGATATAGACGACAATACTAAGAAACAAAACCAAAGAAGAAGTAGCTTGTATACAAAGTTCAAGTGGATGGAAACAGATGGATTGCTAGAGTCACAGAAATGATTTGTAATTAAGTCCCAATTTAAGCAGGTAAAATGAAGAGCAGATCCATATGAGGTATACTACAAAGCAATTGATATTAGCTGAAATTAACTAAGATCAGTATTATCGATGTAAAAATCGATTTGGTCTGTCCATAACACTTCATCGAGTTCACATGCATTGAAGCATAATTTTGCCTTTCTTCTAGATTGTTTGTTTCCTGCACAAACACGATTTCTATGGCTACATGGTCTTCATCAGGTATCTTCAGATCTCCGAAAAAGGCAATGAATCACTGGCAATATCAAATAATTGATCATTTAAGCAGTAAAAATCAGGTTTTTGCCTCAAGATCTGACGATGTAGGACAATGATTAGTGAACGAAAGCAATTCAATCGACCAAAAATTAGGAGGGAAAACACAAGGTGAACGAAGCAGAGGTCATGGGTCTCACCGGAAAGACGAACGATTCGAATGGGTGGAATGCCCCTTCACCGCGACATCTCGTCACGGGGTCGATCACGTCCCAGTGAAGCTGCGCGGCCCCACCCTGTGCGATCGGCGGAGCATCCGCTGACGGCCAGCGGAGAAGGCTCGAAGAGATCTCACGAAATCACAAACACAAAAAAGAAGGGTTTTGGATCCCTCTTACGATGTTAAACTAAGAAGAATTCAGCGACACGTACCCGAATACATGACCGATGAGGTGGTACCCGTAGCAAGAACCTGACGGCGGAGCCCACACTCCCATGAGTCACATGCTGTCCATCGTACAAGAAACCTTGTTATAAAAAACGAGTCTATCAGCATTATTTATATTCAGTAATCATTTTAGTGTATGGTTTCTATGTATAAAGTATCTATAATTCTAAGAATCGATTGCATGCATTTATTGTTGCAATTCGATATTGATGTCAACATACATTAACTTTGGACAAATACGAAACAAGATTGAGATGGAGGAGTCAAAAGTAGAGCTCATTTTTCCTGATTACCATTGCAAGTCTTTTAGTTTCCTTTTCATCATGTGGTTGGTCTCCTGCTTTGTCTTGGGATCCCAAACCACCCTCTCCTTAAAGAGAGAGAGAGAGCGAGAGAGAGAGAGAGAGGAGGAGGAGGAGGAGGAGGAACTCAGCATCCAGGCAAAGCGGGTTGAGCAGCAGTCGAGGATCCAAAGACGGTGAAGTGAGGTGATCTGAAAAAAACTGATGCCTTCAAGAATTATTTGCAGTGTTTATATGTTATTGTATGATCCAAGAGAGGAAGGAGAAGAGTAGCTTTTCACTTGTCAGATGGATTTCATTGCAAAGCTATAGAGGAGTATGAGTAGGAGGAGAGGCTTCTTGCATCCTATTTGAGGAGGAGGAGAAGTTTCTTGCTTCCTGAGCAATCCATGCTTTTGATCTTCTTAGACAATCTATTTGAGGAGGAGGAGGAGGAGAAGGAGAGGCTTTCTTCATCCTGAAGGATAAGGTATTGGATGATCAAATCCAGTATTTCTGTAGCAAATGGAAGAAACACTAACCCCAACCCGAATCCTACCTGTAGGGCTGCCTTCTGAAGTTTCCAGGCAATTACCGTCTGAGAAAAGGGAATGATGCCACCGCCACTGCGAACCTGCAGCCGGCACCACACTCCTCGATCCTCCCGTCACCGACCACCACCAACAGCTCCAAGCTGGGGAGTCTCCGTCGACTGCACTGCCGCTGGCGACTACGATGAGTTCGGGTCTGGCGCAACAGCAGATCTTGACTGGCGAACATCAACGTAACACGGCAGCGGCGCAGCGGATTGCAGGTGACAGAGCAAACGATGCTGAGGAGCTATGAGCAACGACAGCTTGTCTCTGAGGGCGACGATGGGCATCATCAAATGGCTGGTGGCGCTACAATGGTGGCCACCACAGGGTCGTTATCAGGGCAGACATTGCTCCCACCACGGCCATTTTAAGGGGCTGTTCTCAGTGCAACAGCAAGATTTCTATACACCAAAGCATCAGATGCAAGATCGGGCAAAACGAGAGCAGTGGTTTAGGTCAATTCAGCAGACCTTATCATTCTATCGTAGAATCATCACTCATATTATGATTTAGTGAATTAAAATAATCTTTAACATGAATGATACAAATATAATATAAAAACTAACTGTTTTGGAAAGATGCATTATTATGTTATTATTGAGTAGAATCCAAATAATCAAGGCTTATAATAGCCGGCCGGATCCCGTCGGTGGTCCTCGCCTCCGGAGGGGCCGGCGCCGTCGCCTCCAACAGGCAGCTGCTCACCACCGACGCGAAGCAGATTCACGAGCTCCTCAAGCAGTCGCCTTTCTCTGCTCCACTCCCATCAGGCTCCAGGTCCGGCTCATCGGTCGTCCTCCAGTCCGGCACGGTTCTCCCCATCAAGGCATGGATCGAGATACGGATCTTTTTTTTCTTAACGTTCTTCCATTTTACTTCTTGGATTTTATTGCTTTGGTCTGAAATGCCGATGAGCTTTTTGATGGTAGGTTCATAGGATCGTGGAGACAGAGAAGATTCTGAACTTGGTGATGGCATGGGTAGAGAAGGGAACGGAGTTGAAGGTTGATGTGCCTGTGGTCTTCAAGGGGGGAGGTTGTCTGCCCTGGGTTGAAGAAAGGTGAGCTTTGTCTACTGCTTTCGTGTTCTCCCAATTTATTTTGTTGCACTGTAATAGTTCTTCTGCTGCTATTTCTTGATGGGTTATGGTAGATATTGTAGAAGCAACTGCAACGATAGGAGAGGTTGGACTATGTGTGGCCCAACATGTTCAAGGAGGCAAGTGCAATATAGGAACTAAAGAATTTCTCTGTGAGACATATGGTCGAACAGTTACTCTGAAACCATCCTCACCCATATTAATACAATCTCATGCCGTTAATTTGAATTGTCATGTCAAATCCTTATTAAGCTTTTGTTGTCTGTTGCTACTTCTGCTTTAGCACACCACTCCTTTTTCTCTCCACCTTGTTATTTTTTGTCATCTCTGTGCATATCACTCTGCCTTTTCAAGTAGTTTGTATTGATAAAAATAATAGAAGATAAGAACAATATAATATAAGAAGTTTTATTGAAGTAGATAAACTTTAGCTTGAATACATTAACATGTTCCTCTCCTATTTATAGGATTAAGAGAGAGGATTTTACTCAACAGAATAGAGGATTTTCCTCAACAGAAATCTTATCTTCTATTATGTATCTAATCATTCTCTCTCAGTAGACACGAAACATGTCTATCCTAAAGTGGGGCACTTTTCATCGATGGGGGCGAATGGAAAATGATTCTGAATTGTTTTCTCTTTTTCCAGGGTCTAATACTGGACCTAGTACTTCAGTCAAGCCTTTTACACGTACAGTAATTCGAGATCATCAGTGATTTCAGTTAGTGGTGGAATCAGATTAAAAGAGAATTATAAATTATTTGAGTTTGTCATAGCTCTCATTATTTGGGTCTTCATTACTTATTATGATATTTGGTTTCTTTATACCAGAACATGTTCTGAAAATATTTAGTCTTATAAGATTCTTTCTCTTTTAGTACTTTTGATACATGATCTGAGCACATGTAACATCATCCACTTATAAAAGATTGATGGTTTAAAACATTATCTGATATAGTTTTGCACCTAAAACGTTGGCTTAATGGGGGTACAATGCTTACCAGGGTTGAAGTCAAAACCTTATTTGGTACTTTCTTGCAACTAATATATCGGTTTGATGGTAAACCCACTTATCAAATGTTGAGGATTCGGAATGTCATCCGATATATTATGATGATGTCAACTATATCAAGCATCTTAGCTGGGAATGACTTTGATTATTGATAGTAAGGTTAGGAAATCAAATCTTATTATCACTACTTACGTTTTGCAAATAAAAAACCATCTTTAACATATTTTCTGGGCAGCCTTGGGTCTACAATTATATTCATTATGTAATTTGCCTTGGCCCTTTATAATGGCGTATTGATTGGGTTAAAATTCATCTGGAGTTACATTTGTTACAAAGTATGATCACTGAAATGTTTTGATTGTTGAGGATATAGGCTAAGACATATCTTTTATGATGTTTTTATTTTAGGTATTTGAGAATTTCATTGAATCAATTATTTGAATTACTTCTTCTTCTCATCTTCCTTTTTCCTTACCCCCTAGAAAATAAAAGATTTACTTCCGTCTTGTTTAGATTCAAGGCCTTAAGACTTGAGGATTCCATTACAATAAAAAAGAAAGCACATACTCTACAGGGGTGTTATCTGTATAACTAACATAGAACATATGGACTTAGCTGTACAAACAATTAGATGGATATTTTGAGATAGTACATGTGTTTGATATATCTTTCTTGAATATGAAGTGGGAGATAATTACTTTAATATTTTGAGGATTTAAAATGCATGTGTAACTATCAATTGAAATATGGTCAGAGAGATTGGGATACTTGATGCAAGCTTGCCAAGAAACAGTAAGATTTTTGTGATGGATTAATTACTTAACAGCCTGTTATATGATTAAGGCTCCAGTAGATGGAGTTTTCTGTTTTAAATTTATGTTTAAGCCAAATGGTGTCAATCACACTCCATGACAGTAAGTGAAAAGTAGATGCACCACATTGCTATGGATATGAAAGGCGTAAATTCTTTCAATTCTTTGTTTTCGGTTGCATTATTGGAACATTTGTGTCACAGGTTTGGATCATAGGTTTGGAACATTGCCATGGATATGAATTTTTCCAGAAATCTGTCACTGGGTACTATGCTAATTCATGCTGGAGGCATCCTCATGTCGATAGACTAAGTTCTGGCCTTTGCCTACCAGTGTGATAATCATGCCATGCTAGGAAGAGATCCTATGAACAACAATCCTTGGTCTCACCTTGCTTTGGGAACCTTCTTAATCTGCAATTGGGTCAATAGTTGCTTTCCTTGGAAGGTATCACTCATTTGGAACTTCCTGAACTATGGATGGTAAGAGAAAGGGGGAGAGCTTAGGATGGGTCCAAAGAAGAAACTAAAAGAGAAAGGTGCATCAAAGAATCATGGTTTTTGAGACCAATAGAATACTTTTGATGAAGGAAAATTGATCTCAGTATGAAGATGGTAGAATGCGATATTACTTGTCGTTACTCTGTACATAAGTTTAACTATAAAAAAATAAAAGTGAACTATCCTGGGAATAAGATGAAAGGAATAGTTTATGCAACTGATGTCTAGATGTAGTGTTGAATAGAGAAAAATGAAAGAAGTTTATATATTTCTTTTTCCCATAGGAAAACAATGAGATAATATTTAACAGTACAAGTTATCCAAGAGTTTTGGTGGATTTGTTATATGGTTTTAGGCCTCAGCCACAAAAGAATTATAGAAGTACCAAAAGAGTAATCATGTTTATGAAGTTACTATCGAATAAGTGCCTTTTGTGATGCTTAACCTTTTTTTTTAAGATATTACTTTGATGTACATGTGCAATAGACAATATGTTTTGACCAAAAATTTGCTTTGAAAAGACACCTCTGACACTATAACTGTTTGGTGTCAAACATTGATCCATATGTCTTGTCTTCACATACCACGTATTTAAACTGATGTTGACAAATTAGATTCATGCAAGCCTAATTCTTCTTGCATGTAGGGTTGTGCTTAGATTTTCTAAGATAGGTATGCCAGTACATCCAGAAGATAAGTAGGAGAGGATTCCCAAAACATTCTTAAGGGAATGAACATGAGATTGGAGATAATATGTTAAAAGTATTAGGGGATTAGTGTAATCAACTAGGAAAAGAATATTCTAGACTAAAACTCTCAACAAGGCATCAAACTTTGAAGTTTGTCCACTATTTGTTCTATGAGACATGGATAGCTAGGGAAGCATGTAGAATTTAGTCCAAAAATTATTATTTAAAAAGGGAAATAAAGGTGAAGAAAAAGGGACATTAGTTTTCGTCCAACTATGCTAGAAAATAGACCGTGAGTAAATCCAACCACTTTATTTTCAAAGACAGTGATGAAAGCAGGACTTGATTCCAAGACCTTGTGATGCTCTGATGAGGCCTTTAGGTTTGATCCCAAGAAAAGGGACACTTGTTTTTTTGCTAAACTATCTAACACTTTTAAGAACTATCGGATGAGGTTTCGAGAGTTTGGCACACCAGATCAATGTTTGCATATAATATATCAGATCAGGTTGCGAACCCTCAACCCTTTGATAAATGGGTTGGTACATTACCACTAAACCACTAAGCCAAAAATTTTAAGGCATCAAACTGTTTATCAAGTGATATCCAGCCGCTTTCTTTGTTAAGTTATATGTTTGTCAAACTGTTTTCTGTGGTTGTACTTTCTCTTAAGGTGTCTTCATTGTCAGTACCTAACTTGGCACTCTACTTTTGGAATTTACATAAACAGGAGGTTTTCTTCACAAGATCAGGACCAGTTTAAAATACCTCTGCCCATCAGAAAACATACCTCCAAAAATTGAGGTGGACTTAGCAAATCTGGACATCGGTGATAAGAATAGTGTTTATGCATGATGTTGCAGTGCAACCTTCACTGAAGCTTTTGAATAAAAATGACACCATGCCAATCTGTAAGAATTTAGCAATTAAAAGCCCAACGAGTCTGAGCCTAAGGTAAAGTCAGAAGGCACAGAAATGACAGAAGTTGAAGAAGCCAAGTGAATACTCTACTCTTAAAGCCATAAGATCCAGCAAAACTCCTTGAATATTCAAGAGCTGGTATTGTTTGCAGAGCTCAGGTGTACTTGATTGTAGTTCCGAACTTTGTAGATCGGGATTTGTCTGTAATTTTAACAATTTTCTACATAATGCTGGATCCTTAGATGGATGAATCGTATTGTTAAATGGATATTTCGACTGTAATGGTACAATTGGTCCCCTCTCTTTTTATCTGTAATGTTTCTTACTTGTTCATGAAACTAATCACATAAACATGCATCCAATCAGGGTATTTGTGTTCGTGGATTGAACTGTTCCATCAGCGACAAAGACTCGGTCTATCAGTATGTAATCTCTCTCGTTGAAGCAGTCCACGTTGACCAGATCGTCTACCGGTGAGTGGCGCGTTGACCCAGCCATCCTGGTCGATGAACTCGCGAGCCATGGCCTCTGACGTCTGACGCGTTCAATTGCCTCGTCTTCAGTTCTATGGTCCGGTCTGCGTCCCCAAAGCCTTCTTCACCCGGAAGAATAATAATATTGAGGTGCGCCAGCTGTCACACAAACTGGTCCCCAAGTGAGCCGGAGCTGACCTCGGTTCACGGTCAACGCAAAGTCAACACAGCTGCAAAGCTTTCACCCCAAAAAGAATAATAATACTGAGGTGAGCCAGCTGTCACACGCTGGTCCCTAAGTGACCTGGAGCTGACCTCTGATCACGGGTCAACGAAAAGTCAACGCAGCTGCGAAACTTCTGGCGCGGAAATCTTAGCTGTCGGAAACGTAGTGATCAGAATCACAGGGAACGTAGATTCCATTGGATCACTAAGTTATTAGGTTAATTCCAGATTTAATACATTCTCTCGGTGATATATAAATTATACATCATGATTAAAATGCAAAACTTGTATAATATAATAAGAGTAATTTTGTTGAAATTGTAAGAGAAATTCAAATATCATCTGTAGTAAATAATAGAGTTGAGCATCTGATTTTGATTTAAATAATAATAAAATTATATATTAAAATTAAATATTTTTTATTTAATTTTATAATAAAAAAATTATATAGTCGATCTCAAATAATCAAGGATTTATATTTATAATAATAATAATAATAACAATAATAATAATAATAACAAGTGAACGTGATCGTTCAAATGAAACGCAGATTGATCTTTTTTTTTATCTTTGAAAGTAAAATAATTATTTAAACGGACGACTAATTGGGTTTGGATTGGTTGACTCAATCCAACATGTACAACAATAACAAGAAGAAGCTCAACTACCTTTTAGAGTTTAAATATGATAATTAAGAGAGTTTCGTTTGAAATGGACCAATATGGCATTGTACACTTGATAATTTCAACTTTAATTTGAATTGGTATTTAGTATAGGATAGGTGAGATAGGTTTGACCACTTCCACTTGGACTTGGATCACAATTTCATTTTTTTTTTTATTTGTATCGAGTCCAATTAATAATTAAAACATTAATTAATGAAGAAATTAGATGATTAAGATACTTAAGGACTAATGGGTAAACATCAACGCAACTTTATTGACCATATGTTTATTATATTACTAAATTGCTCTCTTGTTTACTGCCTCTCGATTCTTCACTTACACGAAGAAAGAAAGATAACTAAAATAAATAAAAAGATGATTGATTTATTATTAGAATTTATTATATTAATAAGAATAATTGTAGCAATGAAAACGGATACCATTTAATTCGAACTCATAATAATATTATGATAAACTATCAAAATCTTTGCCAATTAAATTACTAAGCTATTTTGATGAGATTTTAAACTTTTAATTTTTAATATTTTATCAGATGAGGCTTCATATCTTCAATCTTTTATAAATGAATGAGATAGATATATAGTGTTTTAAGTGGATAATGTATGTAGTGAGGTTTTCAACTGTCAATATTGAGCAAATAGGTTTGATATGTTGCTAGTACACCAATGTCGTAGGTTAATACATTAATATTATATTATAGAAATTAAAATTTTAAGATGAATGTACTTTACGAAACATTTGTATATCTAACAACTTCAAATACGTTATTGCTAACCTCAAATATGAGACATGTTTTCTATTTATTTATTATCTTTCGTAAACATAGAAAAATTGAATTACCACTCACTAAATGGGAATATATGTCGGCCGACATGATGTCAAAAGCGCTATTGTGATATGACGTCAGACTACCTTTATATCGTTTATTTTAAATCGGAATATCCGCAACAGTCGCTGTCAAAGCCAAAAAAGAAAAAAAGAAAAAAAGAAGAAAATTGCTTTTTCAGTTTTGACCCCTCCGCCAATCCTTCCTCGTTCGCCTCAAAGCCGCGTGTCGTGTCGAGAGAGGAAGAAAGGGAGAGATGGCTGGCGTCGCGCACCGTTGCATTTCTTCGCGACCTTTGTCTTCTTCTTCTTCTTCTTCTTTTTCTTCTTCTTCTTCTTCGCCCATATACCTCCCATGGGCGACGCCACCCGATCCCTCGAGGCTTAGGGTTAGGCTTCCCCTCCCCCTTCCATTTATACTACCCTAAGCCTCCCCTCTTTCACCACCCATGTCCCCCTCCTCCGCCCTCGACATGCCTTGGTGGAAGAGCAGCAGCCACAACCATATCCTCTCCTCCTCCTCCTCCTCCTCGTCCGCCTCCCAGAGCACCGGCGGCCACCGTGGCAGCCGCAGGGACGTCCGATTTTTCCCTTGGAGCCGCCGGCACCCCCTGCCCCGCCTCACCCGCCAGCGGAAGCTGCGCCACCTCACCGACGTCGAGATCGACGAGTTGTCCCTCGACGATCCCGCTGCCGTCTCGTTCTCCGCTCCCGTCTCCATGTTCGCCAACAACCTCGAAGCCATCCCCTCCCGGTCCGTGTCGTCGCCGTTGTTGCTCCCGCGCCCGCTCCCCCTGCCGGACGCCGCCGCCGCCACGCCGTATCGAGATTCGACCTCCGACCGGGGGCTAGGGTTCTCGCATTCGAACGCCATCGGCTTCCCTTTGCCCTCTCCATTGAGGGCTTCTAAGAGGGCGGAGGGTGACGACGGGAATGGCGTAGCTGCCGATCCCACGTCTTTCGTATCTGCGTTTGGGAGGTATGATGCTTTCTCGAGCTACACGTCCATGGTTGATGAAAGTAATTTGGGAATCTAACTACAAGACATTGTATCTCATTTTCATCATTATACGCTGGAAATAATATATCTTATGTCAAGAAATCGTTATTAGTTTCTTCTATCACCTAATCGTTAAAAAAAGGTTAAAATTTATGTGCAACATTGAAAGAATAGCAATTCGACTTATTTAGAATTCTTGAGACTCTCGACATGGATATTAGATGGAATCATGCTTCAGACTATTTCTCATCTGTTGATGTCATTCTGTTTACGATTTTAGTGTAAGAAGTTCCCTCAGAATAACCATTTGCCCTTTTTTGAATCTTATGAACTTTCCTAATTGTCTTTTGTTTGTGTAACGTTTTATGCATTTCTCTTGGTTTCGGTGGTAACTTTACTGTTACAAAAGCAAACTTGATATGGTCTAATGATTAACTTATTTTTGATATTTATATGCCCAATAATTGTTATTCCGGTATCTTTAGAGCTCTCAGAATGTTAGGAGCTTTCACGGAGTACATTAATTATACACTCTGTGAGGAATGTCTTGGTATGGCCTAAACTAGATGATGATGAGAAAAACATTGGTTATACATTCTGTGGGGAATGTCTCGGTATGGCCTAAACTAGATGATAATAAGAAAAGCATTGGTATTTAAGATGAGATCGTAGCACTTAAGAATCAAATTCTTTTAGAATAAGGGGGCGAAAGAAAAATTAATGGGAAAATAAAGAGACAATCTTGAAGGGTTATAAGCATGACTAATTCTTCATAGTTGTTTATAACCAAAGTTTACCAACGGATGATGCAACAATCTTCTCCCTGTCGCTTCGAAGAGAAAGCACCTATCTTGAATGGACGTTTTAGTGCATTTGTCCTCCATTTTAGCATGAATGATGACATAATCAAGATGGTAATGTCATTCATCTAAAGTTCCAACTTGCTGTTTTCCCCTAAATTTTAGGAACCAGGTAAATATTCTATTAGTTCTAATTTCTTAAAGCTTCCATTTTAGCAATTCTTTTTTATAACTGATTTTATTTTCACCTTGTCTCTGCCACTCAATGACCTTCGTTTACCGTGCTTTAGCAATCACAAATTTGATCCTTGTTAGCTTTAGTGTAGAAATTGTAGGCTATAGATGGCTGGCTGTTTACTACCTGCCATTCAGGCACCAGGTACTGGTGTGCTGGTTCTCCATTGTGATGCTATGTGCTATGTCACATTGGCGCTGCTGATGTGCTGCTGGAATAGAGAAACAAAAAAGGCAAAAGAAAAGAGAAGAAATGTGGCAGCAAAGTGAAATATCATATACTGCATACATGTTCCTCAATTCTTTGGCTTCACTGTTGGCAGCCAGTAAAGGCATGTTGCAAGCGGTGCGGTGAACCTAGAAGGCTTTTATGCTGTTCTTTCTTTATGCAGCTTAGAATTCTTGCAGACTCTTGGGCTACTTTTGCTATCACGTGAGCCACTTGTGATTTAATAATTAATTCAAAGTCATTTGATTCAAGGTTTCAAGTATCAGGTGAACTGGTATGTTTAGAACTTTAGATCAATATCACCAATGTGACCAAGTACCAGTACTGAAACATATGGATCAGTGCTAGTGAATGTACATTTTTTTACTGGAGGGTACAACTCAGTATACCTCTCTGTGCAATATTAGTGTACCAGTATGATAGATTCCTGAAACTGGTAATGGACTGTTATTTAAAACCTTGATTTGATTTGCTTCCACAACAATCTTTGCACTGGGCAAGAAATATCTTTCTATCATTCCCTAATTTCTTTTTGCTTTTTACCAAATATATGTTGATGAGTTGCAATTTTTCTGTTGCAGTAGGTTAGCTTACCATACTAATTACAGTAGTCCAGATCAAGTTGGCATATCATCAAATAAATCAACTATTAGTCACAGGAGGAAGGTGTTCCAAGATCCAAATTCTTCTGAAACTATGAAATTTAGGTTGAATATTCCTGCTAAAAGTGTTCCAGTCAGCCAGTTCTCAAGTCCTGTTACTAGTCCTGTTGCCAGTCCTCGGAGATTTAGTGATGTAGACTTCTCAGCTTCTCCCATTGGGTTTCCAGGGCTTCAGATGTGGTCAGCACCAGAGATCTCTTCCAAGGGTATGATGGCAGTTTATCCTTCACGCACTTCACCTGAGAAGACAATGTACAGTCCTGAACGTTCTCCACTTTGTAGTCCAAGAACTAAAAGTCCTCTATTAAGATCTACAAATCCTAGTGCACCGCCATCTCCCGTGCAGACAAAGTTGTTTGCAGAGAGCCCAACTGCATGGCATGAAAATGGTGGTAGTGTCAATGTCCATCCACTGCCTCTTCCTCCTGGGGCCTCACCTTCTTCACAGTCAAACTTTGGTCATCAGAGTGCAGCAAAAACAGAGGTATCACTGAAGGCAAATCATTGGCAGAAAGGAAAACTTATTGGAAGCGGAACATTTGGAACCGTTTATGAAGCCACCAACAGGTATATAGTTACATTGTTCATAGGTAGGATCGAGTTTCCTTCCTTTTGTTTAATAATAATTGATATATTTTGACAGACATAATGGTTCTTTATGTGCAATGAAAGAAGTTAATATAATTCCTGATGATGCCAAATCTGCTGAATGTTTGAAACAATTGGAACAGGTTCGTTCTTGATATCTAACTATACTGCTGTCAAGTGAGTAACTTTCAATTTCTCATTTGCATAAATAGATTTTGCTCTTCATTGTTTCTAATCCTGACAGAGATAAGATGCCAGGCATCATAAACTAATAAATTTTGAAGTACCCTATATTTGTTTCTGTTAAATATTCTCTCTCCTTATACTATTTTATATAATTTGGTCAAGTGCACATCTTTTGAGATTCATACATGTGTTTAATGTTTATGGGCAATATGATATCTGCGTATCTTACATAATTTTTGCCCTACCAGCAAGTTGTAGGGCAAAGTTGACTACTTTCAGATGCATTAATGGTTATAATTTTATCTCATATTGGTTCTAACCATCACTTAATGTTGCCCAATTACATCTCGTGATCTTTCTGGTGTGACACTGGTTTCTGTTGATTGATTGGCCTTTGTTCTCTGTACTGCAGGAGATAAAGTTTCTTAGCCAATTTAAGCATCCAAATATTGTCCAGTACTATGGGAGTGAAACAGTGAGAACATTTGTGGTTATATTGAAGCTGTTATATTTCTTCTCTTTGCAGTTTTATAGATGCATTCGGTTTTGTATATGCAGATTGAGGATCGTCTTTACATATATCTAGAATACGTTCATCCTGGTTCAATTAATAAATATGTTCGTCAATATTGTGGAGCTATGACAGAATCAGTGGTGCGCAATTTTACTCGTCATATTCTCAATGGGCTGATTTACTTGCATAGTAAAAAGATCATGCACAGGTCAGTATTTTGGATGCCAGTGACTTTTTACTTTAAAATGTATATGCCTTTTAGTCTTCCGAAACCAGCTAGAACAAGGATCCAGGAAAATGCTGCAACTGAGAAAATTGGATTATCATTGACTTTCGAACAATTAACAGTACTTTCTACCATTAAGAGATGAAGGGGCACATCGTTTTTGGGTATATATACAGTACTGTGTATATATACTTTATAAAGTTGCCTCATAAGTTTTTCAGTTATAATTTGCTTGTCTACATCTTTTTTGGGCGATTTTCCTAGAAAATATTCATATTTTGGGTATTTTCCAAAAGGTACCTCTCTTTTTTTCCAGACACTACCCCTATTTTGAAAATACCCAAAATACCCCTAAATAATTTTCATGTCAAATTTCTTCTCTCGTTTTTTTTACCAGTTTTAAACTGTTATACTGTTTTTATTTGGCTCATTTACAGTGTTTTTCAATAGTATTTTCAGTGTTTATTTGAGGTATTGAAAACACTATAAATGTTATTGAGAAACACTGTCAATGATATCATATTATGCCTCTTTAGTTGTCATTGCTCATAGATCATTACAATGCCATATTTTTAAGCTGGTAGTTGATTTGGTTGAGGTTAGGAGTCCATTTAGATCATTTACAGTTTTTTTTGTTTTTATTGTGATGTTCAGAACACTATAATAAACCAATTTTTGATTTCTATTTGGTTGGTGTTGTTCTTAAACTATTATAAATACCTATTGGATTCCTGATATATCAAATAGTTTCTAGTATTTTGATTTTATTTGGCTCATTACGGTGTTTTCAAGTAGGCTTCACAGTATTTTTGTTGTGGTGGCCAAAACACTGTAGCAAGCTGAAATATTGTAATAGGCAGAAAAAGCGATTTGAATATTTTTCAGACTAGAGATATTGCTTGGGAAAAAATAAAATAGGGGTACCGATTGAAAAAATCCAAAATATGGATATTTCTAGGGAAATCACCCATCTTTTTTTCTCTTAGTCACAATTTGCTCGTATACGTTTGTCTCCTCAGTGTCAAGTCAATTATAACCTTTTAAAACTTTCCAATGGTAGAAAAATTTCAAGGGCACATATGCAATGAAAAGAAAGGGTGAATTTTTCACTTTACTTTTAATAAGGGGTATTTTTTGGACTAAAATAGGGGCAACTCAGTTGCTCAATTTTTTTGTATAAAACAGTCAAGCTTGATGGTTGATCAATTCCAAGTTGTAGGCACCAAAATCTAAATATATGAGGCAGGCGAACGTTTAATAATTTTATAGGACACAGATGCTAAAACTTTCAGCTGTATATGTGTGAAAAATCCATTCTTTTTTATTGTGTGGCACTTTAAAGTGGCAATTGATTCATGCAGAGATATTAAAGGAGCTAATTTGCTTGTTAATGTAAATGGCGTTGTTAAGCTAGCTGATTTTGGGATGGCAAAGCATGTAAGTTTGTCTATATTGTACTAGATGAGCTGTATTTAAATGAAGTAACTTATATCTTTTAGTTGTTATGTTTTGTCTGGACATTTTGTTCTCATTGAGTATGACATAAATGGTCTCATGTTTCCAGCTAGTGTCTTTCTGTGTGTTCCACTGAATTACTTCAGTTAAAGTTGTCAGAGACTCGGAGGTAATATCTATTGCACAGGATTGCAAATAAGTCAACAGAGTACTAAAGCAGGGTTGGAAAGGAGATAATCAGCTGCTGCAATGATTCTGAAGCAGTAAACAAGAATAATTTTTTAAATTTATAAATAGAGTAGAAAATTTAAGAAAATGGGGGGTTTGAGACTGTTACCATAGTCTCATTTTCTAGGAAAATTAAAACTCCTTTTAAAAGAGCTGCAGGCTTTTGTGTGCAGTATTTTGAATTTGTGTGTCTATGCAGAGATAATGGCTGATATTTTTAAAACTTGTACTTTCTACTTCCTGCAAGAATGGTACTTTGTTGCCTCTATTAAGAACAACTAAACTGCATGTTGGATAGATGCCTACTACCTTTTTCCAATTTAAAGTCAAGTAGAACTCCATAAAGATAAGACAGCAATCTTATTGTCTTTTCTAGTAAGTATGAGATGAATTAAAGTAATTGTGAGATAATTTTTATCCAATACAAGACAAAATCCGAAACTTGGAATGTAAACATGAACAAAAATATACTGAAAACCTACCGAAGATATAAAAAGTTGATCTAGAATCAACCAGATCATGTCTCTTTCTACTTGTTTATATTGGGACTCATCTTCCATAGAATGATATCTGCCCAACTCTATACATATGTTAACATGATCTTCATGTTGTCTGGGAAGATCCTTGTACTTTTTAATATACATACAATGTCATGTTAGACACAATTGCATGATTATTAAAGTACGTTAAGTTGACTAGTGTTTTGATTTTATCTTTTCATTGATTAGTTAAGTGGAGCAGCACCCACTCATTCATTAAAGGGTTCACCATTTTGGATGGCTCCAGAGGTATCATTTTTCTTCTATTTAATATTAAACTATATTCTGGGTTGATACACATGATTGTTAATAGGTTGAATTTTTTGCCTTTTCTTTTGTTTGTTATGTTATATGAGCATGCTGATATAAGCAAGGAGGTTACATGCATTTGCCTCATTGAAAATTTGTGAATTGACCATAAAAGACAATACTTTTATAACTAGTCCAGAGGCTGCTATCATTGAGAAGCAGATATCATGATATTAATCGGGTGGCACTTTGACAGATTTGTGTAACCAAGTCGGAAAAAGTACTTAAGACTGTGTTATGCTATATTCAGTCTAAACTCCTCTCTCCTGATTTCTCCATTCGGATATTAGGCCCCTCTTTTGCCGTAATCGATGATTCTGCATATCCCTTAATCTTTCCTCCTAATCTATGCTTGTTCCATTTCTATTTCTTAAATGATGCTCCCATCAAGCGTGCTGTTGTACTTGACAAATAATAAAAAGTAACTCTTTAATATGGGACACCCCTCTTATAACTCAATTAGCTTATAGTGGAGGCTGCAACAGAAGGAAAAATTAACACAGGACCTGTGTGTCATGGCCTATGATGGTAGCAAAAGGACAGTAAGAGGAGAGCTGCCTAAAAGTTTTTCTTCTGGCTTCTTCCGCAGCACGAGCACAAAGAGAATACATGATTGGATGACAAAGCCTCTCCTTGGTATTTGTAATTTGAGAAACTTTTGTCATTTGATTTTTTCGTTTAGCTGACACTCAGAAGTTAAATATTCCTAGAATATTCAATTAAGATAGTAGGAGTAGAAATAAGGTGTTTTTGTTCTTAGCAGCCAATTTTTTATTGAAATGTGATTTCCTACATTGAGGTGTTTTCCATGACATCTCCAAACGGAGATATTTATATGTGATTTCCTGAAAACATTGATTTACTGATCATTGTATTATGAAGCTCTTTGTTTTTTTATTTTTTATACTTCCTGTAGATGGTACTTCTTCTCAACTGACTAAAAGATGTGGCAAGAGTAGTAATTCATTAATCAAATAAAGGTACCCCTTCATAAGAAGTAAATAAATTTTTTAAAACAATTGATCTTATACTTAGAGATTCTGTTGGTAGCTCCTAGAAACTAAACAAAGTGAATGCACTTTTCAACTGTAAAAAAGGGTTTTATATGAAGGTTTAAATTAGTTGTCAAGTCTTTTCTTGGCCATATTCATCATTTTTGTAGATTTTGAACCTACTTCTCCATTTCAGATGTTGCAGGCTACAATGAATAAAGAAATTGGTTATGATCTTGCTGTTGATATTTGGAGTTTAGGCTGTACCATCATTGAGATGTTCACAGGGAAGCACCCATGGAGTGGTCTAGAAGGGGTATGTATGTTTTTGTTATTCATGTTGTTGACATCTTGCAGCCTTTCAATTTAAGTTGTTAATGTTTAGCTATTTATTTGATTTTATGAAAAAACACACTGTTCTTGAGGTTATTACTCTTTGAAAAATTCTTTTCATTTGTTTGAGCAAAGGACTAAATAGGAAAATGACACTAAGAGAATACAGTGAAGGGTCGAGAGAAAAGAGAGATATTACACATCACCAGTGATTTCAATAGGTGCTCGGGTGCTCGCCTAGGCGCTCGGGTGAGGCGAGGCGAGGCCCGAGCACCTCGCTTCACTTCCAGGCAGCGCGCTTCAAAGAGGCGCCGCCTGGGTTAAACCAGGTGATCGAACTAGCGTTTTAGGTCTGGTTCGGTCTCTGGTGCTTTAGTTGGTTCAATCGAACCAACTAAAGTACCGATATCAGCTGCCGTTGCCCAACCCTAACCCTGCTAGCGTTCACTCTACCGCTGCCGCTGTTGCCGCTCGCCGCTCCCGCTCCCGTTGCTTGCTATCGCTGCTTGACATTGCTCGCTCCCGCTCCCGCTCCTGCTGCCACTGCCGCTATCACCGCTCGTTGCTCCCGATCCCGCCGCTGCTCGCTGTCGTCGCTCCCGCTGCCGTTGCCACTGTCGCCGCTCTCGCTGCTGCTTCTCACTTTTACCGCTATTGCTGCACCCTCGGTCTTCCCTTACACTCCTCTTCCTTCTCCTCTTTCGAAAGTATACTGTTAACAGTATACTAGTAACAGTAATGTATTTGTATTTATTAGATTAATGATATATTATTTTAATTTTAATACTGTTAAATAATTATATTTATTAATTATATTATATATTTTAATATTTTAGTGCCTTGCTTCGCTCGGGCGAGCGCCTAGCACCTCGGGCGTTTTTGGACCTTGGCGCCTAGCGCTTTTTAAATCACTGCACATCACAAGGTTTAAGTGATTTGGCACATAGACTTACAACGACAAGTGATCATGGCAAAGATCACCATTTAGATGGAAAAAACATACAAAAATGGTTTGAGAAACTCTCCTGTACAATTGTCACACAAAAACAACTCTCTTTCTCAAAATTCCCAAATGAAAAACAATTGACACATAATAGAAAGCTTTTTCCCCAGAACATTTCCTGTTTGTCCTCTCAGTGACCTCAATTTTCTTGTAATGTCCCTATTGCAATAATATGATACTTGACAATTTCAACATTCTGGCAGAACTTATCAAACTTTGATGGTCAAATTTTGAAACTTTGTCAGTCCTCAACTTCCATTTTCTCTAACTTGAAGATTGAGATGACATTGGCTTTGTGACAAATTTTACTGTCGTTAGTGCCTAGTTTTACTATAGCATTATATGCATTTTCTTTTCGGAACCTATAGCTTGTTGTTGTTGTACATGAGTGCATCCCTGATTCATTTCTGTTTGGTACACATGAAAAAAAGTTCCTTTGGTAATGACAGACCTTCTAAAGTGATTAGTATGAGGTGTTGAAATTGTGGTGCTTATTCTAAGGAGTAGGATGTTTTTTTTAGCTTGGAAATGGTGTTTGGTGGCAAATGTCCAGCCTCATGAAGGATCGAGGGACACAACTGTTTGAAAAGTAATGCTTATGCAATTATTTCTAGTGTAGTTTATACTAGATGAATGCCTCATTGCAAACCAACCAGTGGTGTGGAACAAGGTTCACAATATGTGCAGGCTGGATCAGGTTGGTGTTCATATGCTGATAACTGGACTCAACCTAACTCCTAACTGAGTTGATCATCCAAAAGGTCAGCTTGGTTTATCAGGTTAAGCAGATGCAGGATACAAAAATTGCTGCTGCCTGAAGCTTGTGATGATCGGTGGGCTTGAAAAGAAGGGGGGGTCAATGGTGATGAGGCTTATTATGAAACAAGAGAAGGGCGGGGACTTGGGGGCTTTGAGGATACAATCATAAGCGGATTTCTGGATATTAAATGTTTCTACTGATATAGACATGGGAAAAAACTGATCGAGTCAGGTTCAAGGTGGATTTGATACTAAATGTTTCTCTATGGAAGCTGCTCATCAAATTTGGTCATGTTTTCCCTAACAATTTTGAGGCCACGGATGCCGGATTTACTGTTACAATAAACTGCTGCTATTGTGCTTAAAGATTTATGCATGAGCATGTGCTATATACATATTATTTATTCTATAATGTACATATTATAGAATTCTTATTTTCCTTTGTCCTCTTCAGTTGCTTTCAGTATCTGCTCATCATAATTTAATTATTATAGTTTATCCTTGGGGGTTGGTTTTATACATTGTTCAAATCGATCAATTAGGCATCAATTTTGGTTTTGGTGGCTGCTAGCTGGCTCAATCCACAGTCTGTGTCCTGACAGCTCCACTAAGAATGTATATAACTAGACACAATTTCTTAATCTTGCTGCCAAGCCGGCCCTTATTGCTTTACTGTTTTACATGAAGATCTAATATCAATTTTCCTTGTGGATCTGAATTAATTTTGCTTCTGATGATCACAGCCTCAAGCTATGTTTAAGGTCTTGCATAAAGATCCACCAATACCTGAAACATTGTCCAACGACGGCAAGGACTTTCTTCAACGTTGCTTTCGTAGGAACCCTGCAGAGAGACCAACTGCTAACATGTTGCTTGAGCATCCTTTCGTTCGAAACTCCCACCATTACAGTATTCATGGTTCTCTCCAGGCTTTTGCAGGGATTAAACTTGTAAGTCACATGTTTTCGCATTTTGGTTTTACAGATATTGCCAGCTTCATATCCATTCAAAAGCTGAACATGTTTGTAATGACAGGATAATACATTTAGCCCTGGAGATAGAGGTAAATCAAAAAGCGAGCCAAATGTGAGAAGGAAACATATGCCTAATGGGTAAGTAAGCCTTTTGTCGAGTTAGGAGTGTTCCATTGATTCTTTATGGTTCTGTACTGAAAAGGAGTTTTAATTTTATTTGGTTTTATCAACAGTGAGAACAATCAATCTCATCCTGAAATCCCTGAGTTAGCAGTCTCCCGTCTTTCTTCTCGTACTGCCGTCGAAGTTTTCCCTAGCTTGTCTCCTCCTCACGCAAGTAATGCTTCATTAAGTCCAGTTGGCTCCTCAGCGAACACACAGAATGGTGTTCAACTGGGTGCTGCAAACTTTCAGCCCTATGCATTACCCAAACGTTAATGGCAAGGAAGAGATAAATCCCTTTTGATATAGAGTGTTGGATACTTGCCCAGCGGGTGTAAGGAATGCTAATTTAGTTTGATCCCCAGGTTTAGAAGACTAACAGAAGTAACTGAGGTCATTTAAACATTGGTGGAGCTGAGATGTATAGTTGATCGTATGCGATCACATTATTCCTCCTTTTTGTTTTCTCAATGTTCTCCGAATCGATTTATTCTTCCATTACTTTGGTGATACAAGGTCTGTCATTGCTTTTGGGAATCTGAAGTGAACAGGAAGCCTTTTATTGTTGACTCCCTGGATGTGTTAAAGATCTACATCCAGGGGTCCGTCGATGACACTTATGTTGTATAATACTGTGTCCATGTCAGGATCATAAATCAAGTGTAGATGAATTCCTTCATATGTCTGCTGTATATCATATGTATACTTTTCATCAACCGTTTCAGGGCAATAGAAGTTACAGCCAATCTCTTTTAGGAGTTGCCAGTATGATTCATTGTGAAATCATCGAAATGCCGAAAACTAATACTTGCTTTGGTCTCTTTATCTGTTTCCTGGTGATAAAATGGAGACAATTTGTGAGCTCTTCCGATGCCATTTGGATTACTATTCTCACTAAATCATATCGCCATTTCAGTAATTGTATCATCATCATCCTGAGAGGACTTCGAAGTCGCTACGTCCGAGCAGGACACAATCAATGATTTGGGTGCTTCAAGGTAACCAAATATTAATATGAACTACATGTCCAAACATTTGTGAACCGATTCCTTTATGTGTTTGTTTGCATGCTGAAAAAGATCAAAAACACAAAAAAATTACTTGTGATGTGAAAAGGTTATGATTAGCATATCAAACCCAATCACATGATACCAATACATTGTCAAGTCTCTTTCAAAGCGTTAGTACACAGTCTTGTAGCATTCTCAAGAAATCAATCACTCTACTGTGGTTGCTGTGGAGAAATGTCTATCTCAAGTCCGATGTTGATTCCGTTGTAAGCAATGGGAGCATACATCCACAGTTGGTCCGAGCTCAACAGCTGCATTACATCGAGAGAGAGAGATACTTTATTTTTTTTGACTTGATGCATTTTTTTCTTGAGAGAAGAAGGAAAGGAGAAGAAGTAATTTTGGTGCAAACCTTAATTTGGAGCTGCAAGAACTTCACATAATGGACAGCTTCCTCCAGCATCGTGCTAATGTCAACCTGTCATATGACATCAATTAGCTCCCCTAGTTTTGAGGAGAGGATCTTTGGATGGAAAGCGGTGTCATCTCAAACTTACCTTTGTTCCATTGGGAACGAGGTTCTGTAAAATCCTCAGTCTCTCGTTGATCCTCTCCCTCCTTTTCTGTGTTCAGGCATTCATAAGGCATTAGAAATATGAAGTTTGTCTTGAACCCACACGGAAAGAAAATTGCGGGGAACACAATCTCACCCTTGCATATTGACTTTGTGGATTGGTCGATGGCTCTTGATCTGCTCCCTTTCCTGTGCTAAGATGTTGCAAGGCTCTCGAGTCATCTTCCCAGCTGTAGCTGCAGGAGTTCAGACGACAATTCATGGTGGTGGTGTTGCTCTCTTCCTCCCCGTCGCAGCTCCTGTTCCTTCTCTTCTTGCCTCTCTTCGGTGTCTTCACCACCTGCATCAATTCCGATCCCACACTCGTAGCACGCAAGAAGAACAAATCCGTTCACGTTCCTAATCTCATCTTTTGTACTCACAGTGGTGGAAGCTCGAGCCTTCTTTGAGCTTTGGGAGGAGCCATCATCCTTGGAACGTGATCCACTCTTTCTTTCAGGCTGCAGCACCTGATCCTGAGCGCCCCCGAGCTCCGCAATCTCATCGCTGCTCGTTTCGCCGTCGTCGAGGCGAGTCGGACCGCCGAGCGGAGAGATGGAGTCGCCGTTGTTGTTCATGGAGGTGGAGCCGACGTTGATCACATCACTCGCGTCATAGCTATCGTACCCACAGTGGGATCCAAAGAAGAAGCCACCGTACTGGTGAACGTCGAAGCTGGCATCAACATTATCCCATGAACAGAAGAGCTGATCGTGGCAGTCTTGCTCACTGGATGAGCTGTAGATGCCAAGCAAATGTGCCACCATTTCAGAACCATCATCATCGTATGGCACGGTGGCATCCGATGAGCTCCATCCCGCCTCCTGAAGCACCATCGAAGGCTCCATTTCGTGCGGCGGAGGTATGGAGGAGGAGGAGGAGGAGGAGGAGTACTGTTGCTCAGGGTGGAACAGCAGCCGAGAAGCTACATTTATACAGGCAGAGGAGAGCTACAAAAACCTGTGGCCAGAGAAGGGGTTGACTTCGATCCTCCAACAAGCAGTCACCAATTAAAATGACCACCGTGGATGATTGGGAGGGACGCTGACTCATGATTAGTGCCACCATGGAAGCCGCAACTTGGTCGTCCTCGAGGAGCATTCAATGAACCAGCTGCAGAATTCTTCTTCGTCAAGAGATTAAACAATGAGAGAAGGCAACAAAGAGGTTGGCATGATCTCACCAGCACATTCCTCGAATCGAAGCAAGCTTGCATTTGGATCATTAACGGACGTTGAGGGCAATCAATTACTCATCACCCCTAAGTAAAACACTTTGATACATATGCTGGTTTTAGCAGCAGTGCCACAACGACAACACTGGAGTCCTATTTCGTCGGCGACGAAGCCGGCGTTGACGGCCGGCCGGCCTGCCTGCCTGCCTTGCACAGCTGTGGAGAAGAGGATTAGAATTGGAGAGTTGTCGCCTGCTTGCAGACATCCACGGAGTGCAAACTCCATTTGTTATTCCCGTCACTGTTTGATTAGTACATCTGCTGAGTACTTTTTTCCGGTGTTTTAAATGGCCGACCAATTATAGCTTGCAATCAAAACGTGTAGCTTTCCAGTTTGTCTACTCTTTCTTTCTTTCTGATGACTGCTTGCTTGCTTGTTCATAAATTATATGTTTTATGAGTTTATTTGTTAAGCCAATGATGATGAGAAATTAGGAAATAATATATTAATATTACCGAAATAAAGAATATTGAGGTGGATTTGCCAAGTTAATGTAGATTGAATTTATTGTTATTATTTGTTAACAAAAACATGTATTAAGAAATATATATAATTAAAAAAGTGAAACTACAAGATAATGTAGTTTATTATTGTTGTATTTGTTTTCTATTATTTAAGAAAAATATAATAATATCATGTGGTCATCAGTGTTGATGGTATGATGGGGCTGACATATTAAATGGAAGCATCAGTTTGATACATATGAATGTGTTCATCTAAAAAATCAATTCTTCTAAGATAAATTTATTGCCAAATTAATCACATGAGCTAAGTTGTTGTCAGTGGATTCCCAACAGAAGTAGTATTGTATGTGACCCTTGCAAAGTCAACCATTAAGCTTTTAGAATACAATATAAGAGAAATTAGGTGGGCTATTATATTAAAGATGATAATATAATGGTTGGACCAAAGGGGAGCAGAGCAAATTGGCCTTCTCTATGACATGCATGAATGTGCATTGATAATAGCAAGACACTGAATTGTTAGGTAAATAAAAAAATCAATTAACTTGGAGAATTGAATGGCCAAAAAGTCTCAATTAGAGTTAACAATGAGCATCTGAGTTGAAGAAGAAATTGGTGGATACAAAAGAAGACGAAGAACTTGGAGAATTAAATTTCATTCATGTTGTAATCACCACAAACCTCATCGCAGAGTGAGTTGAGAATTCATATGTATCATATGATTAATAAGAGAATAACGTTAGTTGTGACCTAACTTCTATAATAAAAAAATGAGGATTAGAAAACTCTTGTGATAATGTTGAAATTATCAGATTAAATACTTGTAATTTTGAAGGTCAATGTTTGGAGATTAAGTCATCAAGTCACAAGAATCATTTAAGTACTCGCAATGGCATGCTTCTCTCAGTCCAAACTACCTAATCATAGAGAGCGTGCAAAATCATGGGTGGATGGATACATACATATATATATTGCCAAATTTTATGTGTGTCACAATTATTTCGATTTATTTTCTTGCTCACACTAAGCTTTGTTGTCGGTAAGATTCATTTAATTAAGACAGTGTGATGATAATGCCCGCATTTATAACTAATATGTGATGTAATGATCATATCTTATGGTTGATGCTATCTTCCAATTATTTTGGGAACAAGTGCTCGAGTTGTGCATGCATCCAATCAAATGGGCTTCACTTGGTGATTACTACTACTTTCAATGTTTCATTAACTTAATTGGGTACATAATTAAGCATACTGCATACACTCAGATGCCTAAAGATGTAACTAAATGCGATTTCATGTTCTTAATGGTGACTTCTATTCCTTTTTATTATATATATATATATATATATATATATATATATATATATATATATATATATATATATATATATATAATTTCTTTCAAATGTGATGGAAGCAATATTATTTATGAGTTGCATGAAATAAATTGACTCTTAATTTCTTTCTTTTTAAAGTGACTATGACGCGAAGTTAATTGTGTAATAATATACTAATCAATTTAGATGTTTCATAAAAAATAAATTTTAAATTCTTAAATGACTAAAAAGTAAAAGAAAAAGTTTTATTATTATTGAATATATTATTATTATTATTATTATTGATACATAAATGGGCGTATTTATGAAACATTTATAGGGTTAAATGTGTTATTGGAAAACTTTGCAAGGATAAATAGGTAAAAATGGCTACCCATTTTTCACCCAAAAAGGAGATTATTAATACTGACTGCTCTAAGCACGTGAGAGTTACGAATCCGCACGTGCAAAAGTTGAATAAATGGGAACCGCTCGCTCTTTCCCGCCCTCGTCTCTCTCATCTCCTTCCCACAAGCCCTGGCGCTCTCGATGGATCTCTCGATCCAATCCGCCATGAGCACCGATTCGAGCAGGGAAGTCTGCAACCCCCGGTTCTGTGATTTCTGCGATCCGCCAACTCGTCTCCCCCTGGAACAGGTTCGCCTCTCGATCTCTCCCTCTCTCCTCCTTTTTCTTCATTTATGGTTTCCTTCTCTGATCCCTCAATGCGATCGGATTAAGGTCCTAATCCTGGGTTTCTTCTTCCATTTTACCCCCCCCCGGATCGAAGGGTCTTCCTGCTCTGATTCTTCTTCAGCGATTGATGGTCTCTGTCCTTTCTTCTCGTTTCCCAACAATCTTTGTAGTGACCGTATCAAGATGCTTATTGATCCCACTTCCTGATCTCTGAATCGAAGCACTTGGAGGGTAGTTAATGTTTGCTTCTTGGATCGGTTCACTGGCCTTGGGATTAATCGGACCGCTTGGTTTCTTCATATTGTTTCGCATCAAACTCGATTTATGTAGGCATAGATGCGGTATCATTATTGAAGAGATCAAATTGGGTGCTTAAAATTTCTGTATCTAAGGATATGTACTGCCATAAATTATTGAGTTCATACGAGGAAGTACCATACAAAGGCTTGGGATTGAGATTAAAGTTATGTTTGGTTATTTCTTCAAGCGAACAACTGAAATGTCATCGACGGCAGACGAAAAAATTGTTGGAGTTAATACCAAAATCAGACCAAGTTTTGTTTGATCTGCCCGATTCTCATCGGCGATGATAAATCCGATGGGATCAGCATTTCCTCTAATGTGCGCGCTATCAATCCAATGAGAATTGGACCAGTCGAAGAAACATCGGGGTACGGCATTCCATTTACTTGTCATGTCCCCCCATGTTCTCTCCATCGGCCCAGGCAGGCGAGACACACACCGGCAGCAGGCGCTTGGCGGCATCGAGGACTAAACCTCCTTTTGTCGGCCGCAGCAAGAGGGCTCCGTGTTTACACTGGGATATCCACAATTAGGGAGCTACAGCGCCAGCCAAAAGCCCAAGCACCTGCTCGGCGTGGTGGACTGTCGAACTATTCAATTGTCTTCCTCTGAGGACACGGGATTCCACAACACCCCGACCCCCCCCACCCACGTGACTTGGAAACCGTGGATGGTAGTTAGGTATGGTTATTGAGGTCGTCCTGGTCCTGATCGAGGAATTTGGTGTCCACTGCAGCCAACCTTAGGAGCCGGGGGGTGGTCGGTGAGATCCGCCACCGACGCCGCCGCTTGCCGCGTCCGTGTCACGCGGACTCTGACATCAATCCCGCGTCCCTTCTTGCTTTCTCCTCGCGGCCAAGAAAGAGACGCTTCTTCCACACCCCAACCTTTGATGTTGCTCGAACGAGACCAGAGTCAAATGTGATGTGTCTGTGTTTGCAGACATAGATAGGGCTTTAGTTTCGTCGAAAATGAGGTTTTCTTTTTAGTTTATTGTAAATAATTATATAGATATGTCGTCATGCATAAACCTTTGTTAGCTTTGTGGTGCAATACGCTAAGCGGCTATGGGGTACCAACAGGTGGGGGAAATGGGGACAAAAGGATGGAAAGTGGGCCGTTCCTGAAGCCCGGAGTGTAGTACAGTAAGGACCCGTGGAACATGTCAAGAGCACCCAACCCTTGTCTGCTGACAAAAGTCCAGGAGCAAGACTAAATGGCTCTATGGGGTCCTGGGGAAATGACATGAACGAGACTATGTCAAGCCCCCTTCTGGCTTTCAAGTTCAACCTTTCTTCCAAACCTTTTTAGAAATATGGAATTAAGAGTGAGAAAAAGTTGGTCTTTTCCAAAGTCGCCTATTCTTATTCAAAGTCACCCCCATTCCAGTGTCCCTCCCTCGGTACTCCTAACTCGTTCCAAAGGTATGCGATGATGATGACGGAATGAGTTGTTGTGGTCTCCATATATTCTTTGTTATGCGTAAAGGGTGCTACCCTATCCCTGATTCCAGGCTATGGAGTCGAGTCACCATTCACTTAGTGATATATGCTTTTAAGAATCGTGCTTTTAGGTTTGTTGACTTAAACAAAGTATCCGGAAACTCCGCATCTGATGTAGAACTTGGGATGAAACTTGCACATTTTTTGCATCATTCCAGGAAGAACATTGCAGTGAAGTGAAGCTGCATCTTTTTTGACTGTCTTGGGTACCGCCAATAAAGATCATAATTGCAGCATAGCATGAGACCTCAACAGCAATAGGAGCATGATTTTACTGGTCGTACATGACCAGCAAGCAATTCAAGGGATCTATGACCAAGTAGTACTTGCTACATTTTGACGAAACCCAAAATTGAATAGCTAAATATTGTCGTCATCTTCTCTCTGTGTTGATGCATTTTCTTTATATAGTTACCAGAGAAAGTTGATGAATGCGTTTTTGTCATCAATGGCCGTGTTTCAAGTGTGACCGACTCTCTTATCGATAAACACTAGTAATAGATTCTCAGTTAATTTCAGATGA